TTACCCATCCCTCACCCTTAGAGAGGTCAGGAGAGAAGAGGAGACAGAGCGAGAAGAGAGGCAGAGCTCTCATAATGAGCAGCGAAAAAAGGCCATTCACATTGAGACCGGAGCAATTAGCTCCATCGTCTGAAGAGTGGAGGAACACAGAAAGAAGCTTGTTAATAAAAGCTGACTATTAAGCTCAGCAGTAGCTATTCAGCCATTCTCTTGATATTTTCTGAGGCTCAGTGTTTGTGTGGGTGTGCGGGCTCTCTGCAGACGTTGACGGACAAAGAAATCATGTCTCTGTGGAAGAAGGATGTTGTTGGTAATCACCACCATGACCTTTATCAAATCAAGAACATTTAAATAAAATATTCAAAGCATTTGAAATATTCTGCTGCTTGCATTATATATTGCCACTTTCTGAGTGATGACGTATTCTAAGTTTGCTCTGGGGTCATTGTGGCTTTTAGAGTAGGAAAGCACTTGTGTCCCGCTGGCTCGGGGTTAGGGACGACAGTATTCAGTGGTCCATGTGGCATATCCTCAGCTCAGAGGGATGATGCATTTTGCACATGGTGCAGAGACGGAAATCTTCGGTCAGGTGAAGGTGAAGAATGACTTTAATCAAGCTCTTCTCAGAATAATTGACACTTATTGCAGCCTAAATCGAATCAAGATTGATATTTATTTTGATCATGGGATTATAGTCACAGCTTCCCATTTTTCAATGACCTGCTCCTCTCCCTCCAGCTGTGCTCAAAAGCTTGTGATCTGGTTTAAAGTCACAATAGCCCAATGACATTTAACATCCAGAAGGGCATTCGAATGTGGTTTATGGCCATGATTTATTTCTGTCCTTTAATAAATCACACAATAATTTATATGTGTTTCAAATCTGTAGCTGCTGGGTTATATTTTGAGTCTTGAATGAAGATATCATTTAAGGCTGGCTTTTTTAAATGAATACAAATGTGACAGGGAAGTAGCTTTAAAATGTTGCTGGCTGTAAGACATAAGCTTTTCTGTGAAAGGGGTGATGTAGATGAATTGGGTGCTAATATTATCCCCCAGTCTCTGCAGCTGCTGCTAAAGAATGAAAAAAGATAAGATGGAGCGAGTAGAGATTATAGGAGTTTTTAAAAAGCTGCTGGTGGAGGTTTTTAGGGAGAGTTGAGAGACCTCTTGAAAGAGTTCCTCATCTCCTGAGATTTTGAGGATGTTTTCTATGTCTTCAACAGCCCTTCTCTTTCCACTTTAGCTCTCTCCTTTCTCCTCCCTCACACGCCACTTCAGCCTCTACTCTTGAGTGCCTCGTGGTTCATCGCCCTCTTTTCAAGCTTCCTTTTATCCTTCCTAGTAGAGTTGAGGACTATAGATGGCAAACAAGAGCTGGAAGACATGCTGGTGGATTTGGTGCAGCCGTATTTTGTCGAAAGCTGATGGAGGATATCAGGTTTTGGCCTCGAAATGAGAACGTGCTTTCTGGCCAACTACTTTAAGACTGACTGGGAAAGTGTGCATTTGCATTAGGCCTAAAACCTTCAGCAAATCTTTTCTGAGATCTTTTGGAACTTGAGCAAAGGATTCCTACTCACACAAACCCATGGTCCATTGAAGTCTGATTGAACATCATTTCTGCAGATTAAATCTGAAGACATTGCCAAGACAGTCTGACTGAAATACACACACATAAACAAACTGTATGATTCCTTATGTTCCTCTTGGCAGTCACATTGTCTCAACCCGCTTTGATTAAGGTCCGTTTATTAAAAGTGAAATAAAATACTTTTATAAAAAAATGATTAATTTTTCTTTTTTTCCCTTTTTTTTTTTTTACTTCTAAAACCACACTCCAATGGAAACCCAATCTTTTGCAACTCAAATGCCATAACATCCGTAGTGCACATATGCAGATACAAAAGATTAAAAATACCAATTTATTTCAACACATCGTCTCAACCCTTACTCTTTCTCTTTACTTTCCGAGAGTATTTCACCCGTTAAGCTGGTGCTGTCTGTGATGTTTGACCCCTGACCTCGTCCCTCTCCTCTGCGGGTTCCTCTTTTTACATCTGTCGTCTGAGTGATACCGAACGCAGCAGACACTGTTTTTGTTCTGTTTCCTATCAGATCTGAATTATATATCATCGTCATCATTCAAAAAACCTCTGGTGGACACCAAAATAGCTTTGAAGTGAATAACAGGATATTAATAAAGGTGTAAACCACAGCTGTGTTGAGGACGATTATCTCAAAGAAATAAGTTGAGGAATGAATCACATCCACTCCAGATAACAGCAAAGTTTATAAGTTCCTTAGCACATTTCTGTACTCGGGAGTAATAGAAACATCGTATAAAACAGGAATCTCACATCCGATTTATACAATTACATCATTTTTACAAGGTTGTTAAATCTCTAATTGAGTCTTAAAATGACATATTTTGTTATAAAACAAATTGTTAGATCATCTGTCGGTTGATAAGATAATTCAACTTTTTCAGCGCATATCTTTCTGAGTTTTAAGTCAAAAATTCAGCAACAAACTATTATATGAGCTTACTATAGTTCAATAAAGAACTTGTAAACTTTTATTTGAAAACAAAACATGTGGAGCTTTATGAAGTTTACATGTTCAGGAAGTGTAAGTCTGCTCTCGGATGTGTCTATTCCAATCGTACATTTGCTCTTTAACCTACTCTGGCATATAGACAACGCAGCGTGACAGCCACTTCAGACTTAAAATCTCGTCTGCTCTTTTTTTGTGTCTACATATCCACAGGCCAGATAGGGAGGGCTTTCCCTTCGCCCCTCTCCCCCTGATCCCCTTCCTCAAGTCCCCCAGGGTACAGAGTGACCCACACAGGCACCCATCCGGAAGGCACAGTCGCTTTCTCTCCCCGGTGCCACAGTATACATGACCTCATTAGCAAGACCCCACCCTCTTAACGTGTTTTACACTACAGTAGGAATATCAGTCTAACCTATTGACCCTAATAAGATACAAAACCCCAACCCCCTAACTTCCTTAGCATGACCTACATAATCTATACGAGCACATGTGGATGTATACCACATACCCAAACATCAGATGTGTCTTTTTCTCCCCCACTCATTCCTAAAAGTCTTTGTGTTGAACCAGATGAGACATATGTTTCAACTATAATATGCTTGATAGGTCATATTACTGTAGCTATAGAAGGTCATATATGTTATCACCGCACAGGAAATGGTCAAACATCAATCAATCACAATTGATTTGTCAAAGCAGAAATCCAAACTGAATTGCTTCAACTGTGCAGTCCTACAGGAGATGAAGAAGTCTATTAAAGATGTAGAAAGACCAACTTCTCAACTGACCATAGACAAAATCTAAAAAAATATGATGCAGTCATTAGATATGATAGTATTAGCTTTATTTCATGGGACTAAAATAAGAGAACTGTCAGACAAAACAATAAGTACAACAAACCCAAATATATGCATGGCAAATCAGCAAAATAACAATGAAATTACACAAAAAACTGGATAGTGTCCTAGTTGGTGTTCAGATTCTGGCAGCAACTTCGTAAATGTTTATGGTTCCTTCTTGGTATATGGCACAACAGTAGTTGACCATAGTGACACATTAGCGTATTATTAAATATATCGATATATATTGACTGAACTAGAAAAGGTTTAGTTGAATGTTGAAGAGAAATGGGTACATAAAATGTTCAACATTGGCTCCTGAAATAGTTCCTGAAATGCATCAAACATCTGACCTTCTGGGTGCTATTTTTCTTCAATTACATCAATACGTTTGTTTTTAAATATACATAAGTAAGCTCTTTAGAACAGACTCAAGCCTGCACACTTTCCCAGTCAGTCTTAAAGTAGTTGGCCAAAAAGCACTTTCGAGGCCTAAACCTGATATCCTCCATCAGCTTTCGACAAAATACGGCTGCACCAAATCCACCTGCATGTCGGGATTTTAAGAATAATTAATATTGTGGGTGAAGAGAAAAGCAGCTAAGCAGAGCAGATGTATTCCAAGGGAACAGACTTCACAGTCCTGGCACAGACTCCTCTCCTTCAAGCACTTGTGGGCGCATGCATCAGTGTATGTTCTCCAGTGCTATTTTTATATGTGTGTGTGGGCTGAGATCATTTCAAGAGCGCTCCAAACTTCAGTTTGCTAGTGTGAAAGTTAAGTATATAGAGCAGGCGGCGTTCTAAATGAGGTCTATGTCTATGAATATTTAATCAAAAGACAAACGGGAAGACATGGAGCCAAGTGAGCCAACCGCTGATGTAACTGAGCCGGTGGAGCTGCGAGAGTTCAAGCAGTGTATAACCTCAAGGCAATATCCAGTTAATTGTAACTGATTGTTTTGTTTTTGTCAGATATTCTTGGGCATAAGAGCATTTGGTGGAATGTGATACTCGATCGATCTTAACAGGGAAACGGAATTAGCTTCTGTCCGCCCTTGGAGTTGGAAAATATCTGTTGTCTTGATCAAGGACACCTTCAGAAAGCTGTATGCTTGGGGCATTGGGGATTACACTCCTGTTTCCCAACCGGTGACTTCTACCCAACGACTCGGCCAAATTTGTACACCCTAAAAATAAGAGCACATCTCCACCGTCCGTCTGGATTGAACCTGCAATACACTAACAGTCTCGCATTCAGCACAGATGCACTGTTGTAAGGATGATGAAACAACATTTTTGATCACAGAGAATAGCAAATAGCTCCTAACTACAAGATAAGGCCCGTTAATTCAGTGGTTACCAAACATTTTTAAGACCTACACCTTCATTAAGTATGCATTACCTATCTATTGTAACCATTGATATAGTCTTTGTTTTAGCTAAATGTTTGAGAAATAGTTACTTTTAGATTATTATCTGAAATCACTAATTACTTTCAAATGAGTTGAGCTACTCCACAATATTTCCATCCACCCTTTGAAATGTTTTTATCTGTGTATGTATTCTCTGACACATTTTCTTTTTCATTGTTTCTTTTAGTTGGGACGAGAGCAGTTCCATCAGCAGCGGTTTGAGTGACGGCTCAGACAACCTCAGCTCTGAAGAATTCAACACGAGTCCCACTCTCAACTCCCTTCCTACCACTCCCATCGGCTCTCGCAGAAACTCAGCCATCGTGGTAAGTCACACACACAGATGGACATCCACCTACTATCATGTTATATAGATAGATAGTGTGTGTTGGTTACATGAGCATTGATTCAGCTGTTAATCCAGTGAGGTGTTGATGAGGTGCTGAATGATGTGTCATACACCCTGTCAGTATAGAAAGGACACACGTTTACACAACAGGCAGCAGGACACTGGCATCAGAGACAAAGCCTGATTAAGTATTCTACACACACCCATTATATGTATCACGTCTGCAGCAATCAATGTTCGCCGCAGCGCACATACACACATGATGCTGCAATGTTTAAAAAGGCTCCCTTTTGTTCCTTGTGTTTTTTTAACTGCAATAAGAGCTCTTTCTTGCTATAGTAATGAGGCTTATTATGAAGGTTTTGGAGTGGATCATCTGAAAATGATCAACTAGTGTGACCGTAGACATAGTTGTTGGTCATTCATGTAGAATAATCCATTCAAAAAACATAATACCACGTTATTGCTGCTTGAAGGGTTCAGGTTCACACATTTCTTTAAAGGATTTAAACCACCTGATTCAGTTGATCTGGACTTCTTTTGCTCAGTTCAATCGTATAATAAGCCCCTTGAAACCACTGCTTGATATCTTTATGTTAAAAGTACCTTGAAGTGTACTTACATACACTATGTGAGCTGTAATCTTAAAAGATTGCTGTGGAGCCTGGAGGTCTTGGGACTCATGACCTTAATGCTTATAAAACAATCTCCTTGAGGTTCTTTAAGGCTCAATGGGAGCTGTAAAGGTTTCAGACAGTGTGTGTGCTTGTGAGTGTCTGATGTAGGTCACACCTCCGCAATGTGGCGGATGTAGTGGGATATAAGAGAAAGAGAGACAACCAGAAATGGAGGGAAATTGATAGAGTAATAAGCCAGAGGGAATCAGTGTAACCATGGCAACTGAAGTACAGGGATGCTGAGCTTGCTGGTCTTTGTCTCCTCCTGTATTTTTGAAGGACAGGTCTAGAACGGCCATCTGCACACACACAGACACACACACACACACACACACACACACACACACACACACACACACACACACACACACACACACACACACACACACACACACACACAGGGCCATCTGCAGTCCTGCATCCGGGCCAGCGAGCCGCAAGAACCGGGTTGCCTCCCTCCACGCCTGGTTGAAGTAGTCATAGCAACCATAACCCCCCCCTATGGCATCATTACCATGGCAACCAAGCATCACCTCATCATGCACCCCACATTGTCTAATACACATGGCTCAATGCTCTCTCGCCATTCTCAGCTCACAGCTTTTTCTTTATCGGTTTCTCTTCAGCTTTGTGTCCCGAAGTAATTCTTTTGTCTACATTTCCTCCTCTTTATCACGCCACCTTTTCCCTTTTTGCTCCTGTTGATTTTAATTCCCTCAAAGGCAGCTCTGGCTTTACATCCATTCCTCATCTCTCCCACATATTGCATAATGCGCTCAAAAAAGGATATGCGCGGGGGGGTGAAAGACAGGGGCTCTAAGAAGAAAGGTTTGACGGAGAGAGTGAAAGCCATAGATGTGTGTGTGTAGGTGGTTCAAAAGCCGAGATTTCCTCATTTTGCACATGTAGGTGGATCAAGTAATCAAATTACCTTGTTTTCCCAGTACCTCTTTTGTGTGTGTGCGCCTATCTGCCTATACTTTTATATTATTATCATGTTATTCCACGGCTGGACAGATGTCTATCTCGTCCCTGCCTGTTTCAATAATCAGGGAATGTGTGTGAGGAAATGACAGTGTTTTATCAACAAGGTCTGGTCAGACAGACACCCACTGACACACACACACACACACACACACACACACACACACACACACACACACACACACACACACACTGACACACACACTGACACACACACATACACCCTTACTCAACTCTGTTCCTCAAGTGATGTGAACCTGCCCATGGGGTCTATTGGTTTTAATAAAAAAGGAATTCAGCATATGAGTCCTCATGAGAACGGCTGGGTGCAAGGGCCTGAACTTGCGTGCACGCACACACACCTCATGAGGCATTGTTCAACTGTCAGTCTCCTACAGGGGGGAGAATAATCTACCTCTGTAGTCATATCCGTCCCTCCTATCAAGCCTCGCACACTTAAACAGGGATTGTGTGTTTTGTATTTTTTTACGAATCTAAACTGACTTCAAGACTGAATGCTACCCAAAATTATTTTTTACTCTCTCAAATCCTTTGTCGTTAATTTCAGATGTATTCACAACTTACACACACAGAAGACCTTGACTCAATAATGTCCACACAAAAGAGTTTCTTGGTTCACTCGGTTGGACATGCTTTTCTGCTTCGAAAGCATCAAGATGATGCAAAACTGCTTACATTAAATTAGGATTTCAATAAATACACAATGTTTTGCATACATTTTCCAATGAGTTGTGCCATTGCCTCATTCTTTCCAGTCTCCTAAACTAACATTGATTGTGTCAGAGAATGAGTCAGAAACATCCAAGAGAAGCCAGATGTTTTAGTTACTAAAAAAGGTTTACTATAGAGGTGGGGTTTGGAGTACTACACTTAAAGATGGATATTGTTTTATTATATTCTTACCAGTGGCACACAAAACATTTAATTGCTTACCTGTAATATACTGTTCCTGAATAGAAGAGATATAAAACACAATAATGGCTCTTTGTTCTCTGTGTACAGAAGTCAGATCTCACAGACTCACCTCTATATATAATGTTATAATATAATATGTTCTTGTCACAGTGTCTCTAAGCATCTGTCTGTATTTGTCATTCAAGATGCGTACAGATGCAGAGAAGCGATCACTGGTGGAGAGTGGTTTGTCCTGGGACGCTGACGATACCAAACCCGGCCGCGAGAGCCATGGCAGCAGCGTCTACGATACTGGAAGTCTCAAATCTGAATCAGCCAATAAATGGAAAAAGACACGGACGCCGGGAGAGGGCCTAGAAGGAGGGAAGGGCGAACTGAAGAAACCTCACACCCTGGGTCACGGACATATATTGAAGAAAGGAAGAAACCCACCTGTGGGAGTCACCTCGCCGATCACACACACCTCTCAGAGCGGGCTGAAAGTGGCAGGTGAGAGGAGAAACACACATGCACCCACAGTCACAGTGAGGTGTAATATATATAGCGCGCTGAGACAATAGCTAAAGGCAGGAGGACCTATAGGTATAGTTTCATAACTTGAGCACACTGACACATTGGCTGTCTTTTAATATTCCCCTTACTCTGGCAGTCTCACACCCCCGCACAGACACACTCTCTGTCTTTGTCCCACACATTCATCCACAGCTGCAGCCCACCCTCCAGGCCTTTAGAAAGTGGTGCCATGTATCAAACGCCCATCACCACCCACTCCCTTCCTGCCAACTCACCACACACACACACACACACACACACACACACACACACACACACACACACACACACACACACACACACACACACACACACACACACACACACACACACACTCACATTGCACACACTGACCATCAGTGTGTTTTTTTCGTCCTATTGGTCCAGCCTTTCCTTTATTTTTGTACCGGACAGAGTGAATTTATAGCGCTTAAATAAAGGCCTTGTACCCAAAACAACTGGACCAGAGACAGTGTGTGTGTTCATAACAGGCTTCTGTGTGTGTAAGTGCAGACCCATTTGAGATTGTGCCAGCCTTAAAGAGTGTCACCCATCGCACTTAACCCACACACACACACTCTCAATCACCCGCACAAAGAGCACAATAGTGCCGATTGTGCAGCTGCTTTTTAAGCACACCATCTGGGTGCTGTTTACGTTAGCGCACACACACACACATACACATGTACACACATAATGGACAACAACAGGATATGAGTTGTGCCAGTCTAGATACATTGTGTCTGTGTAAACGGCCCTCTCTCTGTGGGACTGTCCTGTGTTTGCACTGCCAGCTGTTGAACTGACAGATATGCCAAACAAGTGTGTTGAACCAACCTGTGATCTGTGTGCCCGCCTGTTATTGTTATTAATGCGAACAGTATGAATCTGCCACCAAGGCTATTCATTCTTTCTGCCACAGAGTTTCAGACTCTAATTAATCAGATGATGAAAACAAGTGAAAGCACACTCAAAGGTTGAGCAGTGTGGAGGAGCAGCAGACCTTCTTAGATAGCTGGAGACAGTCTCTACAGCTCATGCTGGAGATCAGTTTATTGCTGAGGTTTTGCTGGATTCTGTGTAAATATGTGTGTTTCTGCATTTCTGCGGCATTGTAGGAGACAGAGTGTGAAAAGAAGACACTAGATTTCTAGGGATAGATAAACACTTACTGTATACTAATTCTATAGTACATTGTTTGCATTATATACAGTACCAACCATATGGTTTACTATTTGCATTAGTTTGGTTTATTTTATGTAGAGCTGTCAGTGCTGATGCATCAAGTATCTTTCTGTTTCCTCTCTTTCACATGCTCTCACACTGACACCTGTCGGTACATTCAGCTATCTAATACATGTTTACATACCTCTTACATAGACACAAATAAACTGTATCTTAACAACCACAAATTTAAGTACACACATGTTTATGGTGTTGATGGAAGATAATGTGGAGTCTAGAGCTAATGCTCTCCCTGGGAAACTGCTGTGAGTCATTTACAGGAATATGAGTGTTTGTGTGTACCGGAACATCATTTCATACTGCTCTCCCTTCTACCACAGTGGCCTTAAATAGAAGAAGACTTAGAAAGGGGAATATAAATGAGCCGGACAGCAGTGTTAGAAATGTTATGCAAAGGATTTCTCTATCTGTATTCAGTTGTCTATCTCCTCAGACATGCAGGCCCCTTGCGTTGAGACGTGTGGTGAATCATGGTGTCATCTTAAATCCATGCTGACTGTGTCAATCTGCGAGCTTCTCCATCTCCACAGCCAGTGTCAGTAAATCAGGCTTCATTTATGTCAAACTTAATTTCTAGGCCTGGATTCTGTCACTTTGTGTGCTAGCTTCTCATTGCCCTCTGGTAGTGTGTGTTTCAGCAGCTAATTTTCTTGGAACGTGCAATGTTGCGGTTATACGAGGGATTGAGTTTATTACTTGACATGTAAATTCAATTTTCACATTTACAAAAGAACTCCAAGTGCAGTGTTGTCAGTGTTACATTCCTATAAGATCCAATCACTGAGCTGAGTGTGTGTGTGGTATATATGTCTGGCCCTTTGCGTGTATATTTTTCGGGCTTTTTCAATACCCTTAAGTGACTCCAGATGTCCCAAGGCAGCACGCTGGTGGGTCCCATTCAACAGCAGTTCTTTGACTCTGTTAATGCCTTGTATATAAACCTCTCATAACAACTCCCATTAGATACAAATTAAGAGCGTGGGTAGTGAAGGCTCGCAGTTGGGTGGGCGGTGCATACAGCGCACATCTGTCTAATATTTTTTTTTCTCATAATAACTTCCAAACAAGTCCAGTAAGTTAGCCAACTGGGAAATGTACAGATGGGAACAAAATCACATTATTTTCCTTCAACCTCCTTTCCACAAAGTTATCACGCACTCCGCCCTTTTCCGCAAAAGACATCTCAAGAGTGGAGAAACTCAGTTATACTGGGTGTTTCATGCACTTTTGTGCCCGCAGACACGCTTCATGAATGTGAACATCAGTTTTCCACAGCCATGCTGCTCATGATAATCTCGGCCCTCTGCAGCTGTGACACACAGACGTGCACTTACTGGAGAGCCAGAGAAAACAGTTTTAGTTCATCAGGATGGAAAAGAGGAGTAACCACATGATAACAGTGTGTGATGGTGAAAGTGCCTGAAAGTCCTGCCTACTCACTGTCTGTCTGCTCGGACAGGGATGTGTTTTTATCAGCAGACAGTCAGACCCTGTAGGTGGGTAGATGAGATCTCACTTCCTAATATGGCTTGGTTAGTCTCACTCACCAACAGAGTCTGCTCTGGTTTTAAACTTTTCTAATGTTTTTTCCTTCTCTACCTCTTTAGGTACCGTAAAGTCAGATGGGAAGCCAATGGATAAGTCTCGGTTGGCAGTGAAGAGCTCTGGCCTTCAGCGCTCCTCTTCTGATGCCGGTAAAGAGCAACAAAATGGCAGCGGTGCTGGTGAGCAACGTAAACCTCCATCCGGCCTCCTCCGGCCCTCAACTGGTGGAAGCTTTGGCTTCAAGAAGCCTGCCACAGCAACTAATAATGGCACAAACAATACTAGTATGTGTGCCTCTGCAACTGTGGGGAAGATTCCCAAAACGTCGGGTATTCCTGTCAAACCAGTGGCAGTCGGGGGTGGTGGTGGAGGACGTAAGACGAGCCTAGATGTTTCAAACAACGACCATAGTGGTTTTCTGTCTGCAAATGCCAGGACGTCTCTCCAGTACCGCTCTCTGCCTCGTCCAGCAAAGACAAGCACCCTGACTCTGACTCGGCCCAGCTCAGCTCGCCCAATGAGCACCACCATGGACACCAGCTCATCACTGACCAAACCGCCCCATGGCTCCCGGCTCAAAGAGCCCGCCTCTGGGATTGGTTCAGGGTTGAGTAAGGCAGGTGGTCGTGGGATCCATAGTCACGGTCCTGTCAATCAGACAGACAGAGAGAAAGAGAAAGAAAGGGCCAAAGCCAAAGCTGTAGTGTCTGACTCTGAGTGTGGAGGCGGGTCTCTGAAGGGCAGCCCTACTCAGACCCCCTCAGAGAACGGAGGGAAGCTACAGGGCCTGAGACCTCCCAGCAGTGGGAAGGGCCTGGATCTGCCCTCACCCAACACACACAGGTAAAGCTTTTCATGTATTAACACAGAATACACAGTATGTGGTGCAATATATGAGTATTATTCAACACAATTTCACTCATGGATGTGTAATGCTTTACATTGTCTGTTTTTGTCTTTAGATTATCTGGGATTCGCAGCCTGGCAAAGCCTCCATCAATGGCCCAGCTTGACAAGCTGAACTTAAACAGTCTCGAGATGGGAATCCAAGACTCCCTTCCACCCAAGATCCCTCCGTACTCTAAGCTTCAGGACCTGGCCAGCTCAGGAGGCAGCTCCACGAGCCCCTGCCTGACCCCCAGCCCTGCGCCTTTACTCAATGTGAACTCTTCGGCCTGCTTCTCAGGCTCAGGGACTGGGTTGGGGCCCCGGCAGGTCTCCTCTCTCGGGGTTCAAGGGGGCGGAGGGAGCACCTCCCCACTGCTCTACCCTCGTCTGTCTGGGCTGCATCGCAGCATGGAGTCACTGCCGCTCCAGATGAGTCTAGCCCCAGAGCGCCAGGGGAGGGAGAAGAAGGGGGAGAGGGAGAGTTTGGTGAGGGGCTACACCACATTAGAGTCCCGGCACAAAGATAGACATGAAGACAGAGGCCCTCCGGCCAGCTGGAGCTCTGGAAGTAAAGTCTCATTGTGTCTCACGGACAGGTGAGTTTCAATAGTCTGCACCCACATTACTTAGACTATATACTAACTGTACATGCAGATGTTTTGTTGTTCCTTTTTGTAATGCTGCTATCTACTTCCACCAACTGGTCAGCTGAGGAACTGCACCCACATTATTAACTGTTCAGGGAGGCAGCAGTGATCAGCGCAGCTCTTTGATATCTTATTAATTGTAATTTATGCAACAATCATGCACACTCCCCCCCCCCCCCCCTCCCTCATTCAGTGGGCACGTGGAAAGGCTATTCGCTTGGCATCATCACTCATCATGAGATGATAAATATTGGCTAAAAGATAGAATATGGTTTAATTAGAAGGATTAAAATCATATTTACATTATGTACGTACACAACAAGTTAAGGCAAACACACACACACACACACACACACACACACACACACACACACACACACACACACACACACACACACATGCACACTCTAAGGGGTTTGTCGGCTATTATTACTACAGGGCTATTATCAGTGTTGTACAGGCCCCAATGACTTAAGTCGTAATTACGGGCTGACACCAGCTGTCTGCCAGTTGTGCGGAGCGTCTTTGTGCCTGCTGCCTGTTTTTGAGAGTTTAATAACTCCCTGCAGCAGTCGCTAAATAATGTCATTGTTTAATCTCCACAGTTCTCAAAGAGACAGAAACACACTGCCAAAGAAAAGTTTAAGGTAAGAGGACACACACACAAACTCTTATACACACCGCACTGTCATGAACTGATAGTTTGAAGCAATTTTGGCACAGTTTCCTAATTGCACACAGAAAGAGAAACAATGGATCCTCAGTTAATGACAGATTGTGTTAATCCTCATCATTCCTATCACTTTAAAAAAAGAATCTTCAAACCTTTCAAAATGGTATCTCTGTGGAAAGACATTGTCTTTCCACAAATGTATACATACTGTTACTGGCTCAAGCATATGAAGGCAGTATATAAAATGTAATAAATAGATATATGAACAATAACTTTAACTCCTACGTATTCATACATGGATCTAAGCTTTTAACATGATGTGCCAAATTCCAGTACAAGACGAGAGATCTTAAATGAAGTGTATTTATTGACTAGGAGGGACACTGACTTTCCTCTTTATCTGTGCACTCTCAGCGTTGAGGAGGAAGGGAAGGAGAAAGGAGAGAGGAGACACTCTCATACTATTCTGGGTATGACCGACTCGCTCACTCTTCCACTTCTGTCCTCACCCACCTCCCTACCCCGCACCTCCAAGACCAGTATGGGTGAGTCTAATCATATGCTCTGATACATTTACCAACTAAAATAGCATTACACTAGTAATCTATTACATGATTAACATTGCTGACTGTCTTCCCTTTGCCCCTCTGCTCTCTCACTAGTACCCAGCCCTGTTAGCGAACCTCCGAGGATGACCCGCTCCAACAGCATCCCCACACACGATGCCTCTCTGGAGCTGTATGGAGCCTCTCCACTCGGCAGCACCATGTCGCTCGCTGAACGCCCCCGCAGCATGGGAATGGTTCGCTCCGGATCCTTCAGAGACAAGGAGTCAGACGAGGGTGAGCCCACTAAATTAATTTGAAGTCTCTTTATGTTCAATATTATTGTGACACTCCGTTTCCAACTGGTTAATTGTTTTTTTCTTAATTGTATCTTTTTTAGTTCATGGGTCTGTACTCTCACTGGCATCAAACGCCTCATCATGCTACTCCTCGGTGAGTGTGGGCAGCATGCAGAATCAGGTAGCTAACCCTCAGTATGTGATATGTTTGAGGTGTATTTATGCGTTTGTATATGTGGATGCTTGTGTACAGTGATGATTTCCTCTCGTTTCACACTTTAAAGGGTGACAAAGACGTCCTCTTCTTCTCTCCTCTCTTCTCTTCTCCTCTCCTTTTGTCTAATCTAACATATTTTTATTCCCACTGCTTTCGAAGGCTGAGGAAAGGATTCAGGGAGAGGTAAGTGTGTTCTCTCCAGCTCTTTCTTCTTCTTCTCTCTCCTCCTCATCCATCACTCTCATCTCTGTTGTCTGTTGGAGAACAAGTCTGTCCTTAATCTCATAAACAACATCCACTCATGTCACTTGAGTAATGTCAGCCACAGTAAGCGTCAGTAACCTTTATTTTCTTGATAATTTAACTTGCCCGTTTTTTCCTCACAGCAAATCCGTAAACTGAGGAGGGAGCTGGAATCGTCGCAGGAGAAAGTGTCTAACCTGACCACACAGCTGTCAGCAAACGTACGTAATGTTGGTCAACTTTATTAAACAATGGCAGTTTTCACATGCATTCATCACCCGAAGAACTTTGTTTCCCTTTGTATTGGTCCCTAGTTTTCATCTAAAAGATGTAAAAGTGTAACTTAATATGTTGAGGAAATTATATTTATTTTGGAAACCTTTTTTTAATCAATGGGGGCCTGGATAATGCTAACCTCCTTCAGAACCCACTTATATCATCACACACACACACACACACACACACACACACACACACACACACACACACACACACACACACACACACACACACACACACACACACACACACTCCACTTGACAAGGTTGTTTCTTTACGACCACTCTGTCAGCATTTTCATTGGTCCAAGTGCAGCAATACAGCGCAGCCATTATGCACTGCTTCATGCAGCACACATCAATCAAGTCTATGTGTGTGTGTGTGTGTGTGTGTGTGTGTGTGTGTGTGTGTGTGTGTGTGTGTGTGTGTGTGTGTGTGTGTGTCAGAGAGAGATTAGGGAGGAGGAAAATGTTCCACGGGAGACATCCTGTTCAGTCTTTGTGTTTAATTTAGTCATTCAGCACCTCATATACTAAGTGAGATAAAGGGCAGAGGAAATCTATTGAATCTGTCCATTTCTATTTTAGTCTTCCTATACTTTATCCATTTATTAATGTAAATGATGCTTTCAAAAATGTGTAATTTAAATGAAAAACAATACCTATTATAGAAAACTACTTCATTAAACATTTGGTGAAAACATCAAATTATAATTTCTGCCTTTCCTGTTTCCCAAACAGGCAAATCTTGTGGCCGCCTTTGAGCAAAGTTTGCATACGATGACAACCCGGCTGCAGAGTCTGTCAATAACCCAGGAACAGAAGGTAACGTCATCCACACTTTTAGACATAAACCTGAATTCCAGCTGCATTCCACCCCTGTGCCCGTCTCATGAGCACTCAGCTAAGAGCAGGCAGCGTGGGGCTAACATGGCGCGAGATGACTTTGATCACAGCCCGCGGAGAGGAGCTGAATGTGGGTTAGAGGCTGACTTAGTGTGAGAGGTGGTCAGAGGATCAATGAAAAACAACCTTCCCTTTAGGCTTAATGAAAAGGGCAAACAGCTAGCACATGGACTCACACCAAACATCACATTCCTGCACTCTTCAGCCTTTGTATCTGTTTTGCAATGAATAAATTGATTAGCGCCCGAGGCAGTGTTTAGTGTGTGCATAAATGTGAAGAGTCTCTCTCAGGGCTTCATGCCTTGCTGCTCCCACTGAAAGACCAGTCTAGACCATTCCAGAACAAGTCTTTGTTGTTTGTGCCAGCTGTGCACTGACCTGAGCAGCTCAGCCTGGAGCACAGGCTCTTTAACCTTGAGGAGATGGGCCGGGCGCATCTATTTAGGGTGGAGTGGGATCGACTATAGCACACATTAGCAGCACAGAGAGGCTCTGTTGTTCTGTGCTCTTTGTCCTTTTGAACTGTTCACATTGTGACAGGGATCTAGCCGACCAGGTGTATGAGCTCATACTGTGGGTTTGAGTTTTAGTGCATAACACAGGGTTCTTACAGTCATTAAAAACCTGGAAAAGTCATGGAAATTAAAAATGCAAATTCCAGGACCTGGAAAAGTTATTGAAGACAATATTTTTTCCAAAGTTTTGGGAAAGTCATGGAAATGTAATCAAAGTTGCATCAAATATAATTTATATTTTATCTAATCGCCGAAATAGTAATACTATAACGATAATAAATACTGTATGGTATAGTAATGAAACGTAAAATGGCATTTAACTGTCGAGGTATTTTGCTGGTGAGAGATTTCAGTTGCTTTAGCGTGTAGAAGCTAGTAAGCCTACTATTTGATTTGTTTTAGATAGGCACAACATGTTTCCTATGCAGACCTCATTTTCCTGTTCCATGTTAAAATAAACCATTTTCAGTGGTACCGCTGAGAGAGTACTTTTTTTGGTGATGGAAAATTAGGTTAAGGTCATGGAGAAGTCATGGAAAATCCTTGGTGAAAAAGTGTATGAACCCTGATAACAGAAACATCCAAAAACATGAATCCTACTCAAAATATAGGATCAGTTTTCTTCTTAAAATAATCCATTCATATGTTTAAATCAAAAACAAAATGAATGTGTATCACACCTGTTATTATACAAATACATTGTGTGGGGAAATGCTACATTGCCATTGCCAGACTGCAATAACATTTCAAACCTATGTAAAAGAGCTATTTAGATTACTGGAGTAATTTCTTAAGGATAATAAGTACATCCTCAGGTCTATTTAAAATACAGTGCAGTGAAGAGAAAAAACTACTCAAAATGAAAAGCAAAAATCTATTCTGCTTTATTCAAAAGAAAAGTGGTAAAGCTGTCTTTTGCAAACAGATGCATCCTCCTTCTCAAAGTCACAATCACTGACATTGATTACATTTGTTTGTGTAGGACTCAGAGCTGTTGGATCTGAGGGAGACCATCGAGGCTCTGAAAGACAGGAACGATGAAGCTCAGGCTGTCATCCATGGAGCCTTAAACACAGCAGATAATATGACAGGTTTGAAGACGAAACAATTGATCTTTCTCTTTTCTTCTGTCTTTATGGACACCTGACTTTGTCTCTGTCTTATATATTACAGTCCATGGTCTCTGCACATTTGGCTCTTTTAATGTTACGTTTTCTTGCTTACCAGAAATGCGGATTCAACGTCAAAACTCATGTGAGAGCCTCTCCAGTCTCAACAGCCTGACCAGTATGTCGAGCGTGGGCAGCTTCAAGGATCAAGAAGCAAAAAAGAAGAAGAAAAAGAGCTGGGTAAGAACGCACGCTGCAAATAAGGCAGTGGTTTACTCTCACAGCCTCTCACAGTTCATTCTCCGTAGTGATAATGACATAATAGTAAGTGTGACCAGCTTCTCCTCTGTGTCATGTTATTTTCTGTTGTAGGTCCTTGAGGTGAGTGCAGTCATTGTGTCGCTATAAAACCTATTTCCTCTCGTAAAGCATTATGGACCATCTACAATTGAAACACAATCCTCCATAGCCCTCCATCTCTGCTCATTGACTGCCTAAACAACTGATTGGCTGTGTGTTGTGTGAATATGAATATGAATGGGCGGCTGTAATTCAGTTAAAGTGGCAATCAGCAGACGTGACCACAAAAAGAGCTTCGGTTTAATCCTTAAATGTTTTAATTGCCATCGTCAATATATGTATGTCTTTGTTTACACCATGATTTATTGTGTATTTAGTCTTTTATTCATATTTTTTACAACCATAACCCTACTGACCCCAAAGCTGGGTGCTAAATCGGCAAAAACATACACCTAGTATAACCTGACTGCAGAACTATTAAGTTAAATTCATATTTTCATTTACATTTATTTGTTTACTTCCAAATAGTTGATATACCACTGTCTTGTCTGTCCTTTAAATATGAAGTCAGTTAGCTTAGCTTAGCATAAAGACTACAAGCAGGGGGAAACAGCTAGCTTGGCTAAGTCAAAAGGTAACAGAATCACCTGACCACACATTTGTTTAATCAGAAGTCAAAATGAAAAAATGTAGATGTGATTCTGCTGGACATTTTCTTTGTGTAGGCTAGCTGTTTCCTCCTGCTTCCTGGAAGTATGCTAAGCTAAGCTAATTGCCTTTTGCTTCAGCTACATATTTAATAAATGCAATGCACTCATCTCCTTCAGAGTAAGAAAGTAAATAAGTGTTTCCCAAGATGACAACATTGCTTTAATGTTTACCATGTGTGATTAACAAACATCTATATATTTTTGTACCTCTTAGTAAGTTGCACTAATTAACTGAATATTAGTCAAATGTTGTCCCTGCTTATCTCCACGTGTGTAGCTGAGGAGCTCCTTCAACAAGGCCTTCAGCATTAAGAAAGGCGCCAAAACATACTCAGACATTGAGGAAATCGCCACTCCCGACTCCTCAGCTCCGAACTCTCCAAAGATGCTCCATGAGGGGGGAGAACAAGAGGAAATTGAGCACTTGTCACTCAAAACCTCAATCTCTTCCACCTCGTGTGTGTAAGTACACAAACGTTACTCATAGCTCAATACTGAGTTAGACAGTTCAGCTTCATGTGCGTCTGACCCTGATGAATGCATTGTGTCCCCTTCAGGATCATGGAGACTACAGACGAAGGAGACAATGAGGAAGCGGCGGTGTCAGATCTACGCTCAGAACTCTGGGGGAAAGAGAGAGAACTGACAGACATCCGACTGGAGGCCTTGAGCTCTGCCCATCAACTGGAGCAGCTCCGGGAAGCCATGAACAACATGCAGGTTTGTAAAGGCTCTATGTGCATGTTATATTAAATGTTTTCCATATAAATGATAGTTTAATTTTGTGTTTATACGACTTGAAATTCACGTTTTGGCCTTCTGACGTCCTAGTCAACGGTGGAAAACCTAAAGGCGGAGAATGATCATTTAAAGACTGGCTCTGGTCCCACTTCCTCCACCTCGCAACCTTCAGGCCTGGCCTCTCTCCTGGGGCCCTCGCTGAGGCAGCCGATGAGCATGTCCCTCACCAAGTCCTTCAGCCTCAGTCTGAATGATTGTAAAGATCCAGGTAACAGACACAAATTACAACCTACTTCAACCCAACGCACAACTTTTAAAAAGTTGTATTTTTATACTCCTGTCATCACTTTTTCACCTCACTCTTTCAGATGTTTCTCCAGTCGACACATTAAGCGTGTCCTCACTGCGGGATGAGGTGTGTGCACGAGTGCTTGTTTGCATAAGAGATCAAACAGAGGTAAACTCAATTTTTTTCTTACATTATATACAATATTAACCGCAGCTTTATATCGAACAGCATGGAGGCTTCACTCTTTCCCTCTCTCTGCCTCTGCAGGACAGTAAGCAGCAGCAGAACTTCTACCTGGGCTCAGTGCCGGTCAATGCGAGGACTGACTGGTCCTGTCTCGACTCCCTTATAGTTAAGACCTTCAAGGTAAGTGAATGCTTGTCCTCTCACTGTTTCAACATGAATGGTTCTAGCAGTTGCTGTGATTTAAGAAATCATTCCTTACTTATTTTCTTTGTTTGTTTTTTGTTGCCAGGACTACCTAACTCAAGTGGACCCCACTTCTAGCCTGGGTCTGTCCTGTGATTCGCTGCACATGTACCAGCTGACCCAGGGAGTGCAGAGGTTGATGGGAGGGGACAAACCTCAGGCCTCACCTTATCGTTGTCTCAGCAATGGTTCAGCTCAAATTCTTGTCTCTTTGAAAGGTAAGTGATTGTCTCCGACTGATAGTGGAAACCCTTTCTGCCCTAAATTGTGTTTTACTTTGAATTGATCTCCTACATTGTAAGCAGCGACTGGTGTCGAAAAGTCAGTTTTGATAGTGTGAGAGAGAGAGCAGTTTTTTGAACACATTTCTTCTTTTGGCCTATTGGGTCTTTATTTCCTATAAATGTAGTTGAAAGCATGCATGGTTAAGAATGTTCGGACAAACAATAATCAAAAATGGACATTGTGGTCAAAACATACTCTGTTGATTGTAAGAGTTCCTATGAGTGCAACAATAAGTTAAGTTTTATAAACAGATCCTGCTAACCATTGTGACTAAACAGTGATACAATGGGGGGGAAAGCCTATTTAAAAAATAGTGATACAAACAAGTCTGTCTAGATGTAGGCAATTCAAAAACAGACATTATGGTTTTAATATGAAAGTGCACATAATCTTTAAATAAAAGGGCTAAAATATGAAAATACATGTTTTTTTACAATTTGAAATCCAACTGTTTCTCCTTTCTTGTCCCTTGTGTCTGCCCCTCTCTAGGTCTCAGAGAGAAATGTGTTGACTCACTGGTTTTCGAGACTATGATTCCTAAACCGATGATGTCGCACTACATCAGCTTGCTGCTGAAGCACAGGCGTCTGGTTCTGTCGGGGCCCAGCGGGACAGGGAAGACCTACCTGGCTCAGCGCCTGGCCCACTACCTCCTGCAGCGCAGCCGCACAGACCTGTCTGAGGCCGACCACGAGACCTGCCTCCTCGGGAGCAGCGCTGCCGTCACCTTCAACATGCATCGTCAGTCACAGAAGGTAGCACCTTACTCAGGATTGTTTGATGTTATCTTGCTGTCTTTTTTTCTAAACAAAATGTGGATTTGTACTCACAGGAAATGTAAATGTATTGTCGTTGCTCTCACAGGAGTTGCAGTTGTATCTGTCAGAGCTTGCCAATCAGATAGACAGAGAGACTGTAGGAGAACTGCCGCTGGTTGTTATTATAGATGACATCAGTGATCCAGCTAGCCTCACTGAGCTTGTCAACGGGGCACTCACCTGCAAGTATCACAAATGGTGAGTAAGATCAGACAGTTACAGAATGTTTTTTAAAGAGGTTGAAATAAAATGTAATGAAACTACATCATTTCCTTTGTTGATGTTTCAGTCCTTACATCATTGGGACAACCAATCAGCCTGCCAAGATGACCTCTAACCACAGTCTGCACCTCAGCTTCAGGTGAGCACAAAGGCAGAACATTTTTTAACCTTACTTTGATACACTTTCAAATACAAAATGAAGCTACCATATGAAGTAAAACATTAACTTTCTTGCATATGACCACAGGATGGTCATTTTCTCCAACAATGTGGAACCTGCTAACGGCTTCCTGGTGAGATACCTGCACCGTAAAGCTGTGGAAGCGTACCAGGAGAAGGAGCAGGACTCCGCATGCCACCAGGCTCTCCTCCGCGTACTGGACTGGATCCCTCAGCTCTGGTACCACCTCCACACCTTCCTGGAGAAACACAGCACTTCAGACTTCCTCATAGGTGAGAAACAGTGGACACAGGGTCGGTTAAAGGTATCATATGTCATATTTCTGCATTTGATTAAAAAAAAATGCATCATCAATGGCCAAAAAAACCTATGTGATATATTTTGGTGTTGTGTATTTCCCAAAATATTTTTTTAAACTACCGACAAAATTGAGAAATTCGTACTTTTGACAAAAATAATTATTTGGTAACACATCTCAGCATTGTGGTTTTAAGAATGTGCCAGCATTATACTTTTTATCAAGTTTAATAATGCAACACCCTGCTTTGTTATACCTTTATTTGAGAGAGCCCTAATCTCAGATAACAACCTAAAAAAGAACACATTTAACATGAAATCACTGACCATGAAATGCTGCCTCCCCCAGGTCCCTGTTTCTTCCTGTCATGCCCAGTGTCAGTGTCAGAGTTCAGGCAGTGGTTCATTGACCTGTGGAACCACTCCATCATACCGTACCTGCAGGAGGGATCCAAAGATGGCATCAAGGTGAGCACACATACAGAAACTGTCTCCTCCAAAGTGTAACATTAGTGCTAACAACCAGCTGTTCCTTCCTGTGCCTCTCTACATGTTGTCTTACGATGTATTTCTGTCTCAGGTGCACGGGCATAAGGCAGTATGGGAGGATCCAGTGGAGTGGGTGAGGGGGACTCTCCCTTGGCCCAATGCACAGCAAGACCAGTCCAAGCTCTTTCACCTACCTCCCCCCAGCATCGGTCCTGCCAGTGAGGAGAAGAAGGCCCCCAAAGATACACCTCCACCCAGCACCCTGGAGTCAGACCCACTGGTAATATATTAGGTTTCTGTTGAGAGGGGGGACTAGTTAGAGCAGAGGAAGCATAGGTATGAGGTGTCTGATGTCAGATGTCAGTCAACGAGTCTATAAACAGCAAACTATTTAGGAAAAATGTGTGACGACAGACTGAACTGAGCAGCGCTTAATGAAAAGCAGATCAACTACGGCTTAGCTCATTTGCATTGGCAGTATAATGCCCTGCTAAATTTAAAAATGTAAAAGATTCTAAATGAACTGACCCAGATAGTTATTTGCCACTTATTATCCTTCTATAAATAAATACAAAAAAAATGCTTAATAAATATCCCGCTGAATGTGTTAGCCATTTCTCAAGCAAAAATGTGCTGTTATCATCCCCCAAAATGTGAGGATTCATCACTTTTTGTGAATTCTATCAGTTTGAATTCATATTGTTTTTTTTGTTTGGACAATAAAACCAGTTTAATCTGTCCCAGACAATTATGATGGGCTGTTCACTATTTTCCGTAAAAAATAACAAGCCAAACAGTTCCCTCAAAATAAAAGAATGTTTTTAATGGTTTCTTATTTGGCATAATGACTCGGATGCATTCAAAGAAATAGTTCTTCTATGCCAAGCTAAATCTCTGTAAAAACAAAACTATTAATGAATCTGTTTCCTCCTGCTATCCAGATGGCCATGCTGCTGAAGCTCCAGGAGTCTGCAAACTACATCGAGTCTCCAGAGCGGGAAGGCTGTCTGGATCCCAGTCTGCAGACGACACTCTGAGGATAACAAGCGTCTGTTTGTCAATCTAAAGAACTATGGACGTTATTACGACACATCGGGTGCGATCCCGATGAGACTTTAAAGACTCAATAAGTAACTTAATAGTTTGCTCAGTGAGCAGCTTCAACCATAAATGTAAAGGATCTATAGAGAGAGAGATTATGGACGAAGGGTTTGCTCTGCCCTGCTATCAGAAAGACAATTCAACTGCTTTTATAGGAAGCTGTGATGATCATGAGAGGGAAAGACATCGACTTGTCTTTCCTCTGCCCTCAATTTGTTCCCGATGGGATGTTGTTGACTCTGCAAGTGCATGGTAACCGGAATAGTATGATGCAAAATATGACCTATAATCCCATTAATCAGGACCCATTCTTTTATTTTATTGCTATTTTGCCACAACTTTCACCACAAACTATTGGTGCTTACTGTTACTGGTTTTCTTTGAAGTCTTTACAAAGAAACTCACCTCATAAGTAACTCTGATTTCTTCCAAAAGTAGGATCATCACTCGACCACAGCCAAAAATGCACTTTATTTTCTACTTGTGGTAATTGGATTTTAGGAGGCTGTGTCAGTGACCGTGTGTTAAACAGGAATCATGCCGTTCAGTAGTAAATCCTCTAGGTGGCAGCCTCTACTCCTGCCTCAGTGCTTTCCTGGTGTGCTTTCTGACGTAACAAAGGTGCTTGGTATAATTTAACACATATTCGTTTCAGTTCAGCCATTCTGTCATTCATTCAAAACCGTGAAGCTGTAAGAGTAACATGCATGAGTGAATAATTAATATAAATGATGAATTGGTTTTAGGGTCAGTCTGTAAAGGAAAAAACATCAGTAGCCAATGGTTTTCTACCGTGGCCCTACTCAACAAACTGTATTTTTAACTCACAGAACTGCTCGTTTATCTAGTGTACGGCCTACCATTTCTGGCTACGTTTGCGTATACTCTGTATTTAGAGATTGGTTTTGAAACAAAACTTCTCTTGTGACAGATGAGGATACAGCTTTGAAAATCTTGATTTTGTAGGATTTTATACTGACTCATCTTCCACTATCATCTGTATACAGCAACTATCACCTGCGTTATCGGTGTTACACTCATTGAGACACTGTTTTTGTTCATTCATCACCAAGGGGAAATGGAGAACATCATTAAAAAAAACTGCCATCAGCTGAAAGGAATCTAAAAGAAATGTCCTCATTCGGTTTCCTCTTTATACTTTTATAACATTTTTAAGACCTTCCTTTGTATGCATTGTTTGAAGCGTTATTGTAAGAGTAAGGGCTGGGTGAAAGAAAGGTTGAAACTCATTTTTAAGTTGCTTCCTCCTGTTGCTTTCCTTTGTTTGTTTGCACATAATATATGTTAGAGTACTAGATTACAGAGAGTATTTATTGCTCACATCTTGACTGTTCTTGTGATAAAGGAAGAAAGCATAAGAAAATGTTTAAGAGGAGGAAACTGTATGTATTATAGATATTCCCTCTGCCCCTTTCACTCTGAAGTACCTCAGACTGCCATATTATGTCCAGATGTTCCTCTACTCCTCCAAACAGGGTGCTGGTGGAAAGTTGAGACATGATGCCTAGTCTATCTGTGCCTGAAACACTATTTGGCCTCAAGCTGCTTCGGAGCAGCTTTAATCTACCACACAGAGGCCTCGATTTAGAGGAAACATCACCACTTCCTCTCATCTACTCTGATGTCACTTTAATGTCGTCACCTTGATGCCGACATTTTGATGGAAAGTGGGTTATCGATGTTGACCTTTGGCTGGTAGTAACAATGAAAGCTGTTTGTTAAGATGATATCTGTGTTGTCTGCAATAGCTGACAATGTGTATCATGACTGGACTGCTTTTGTGCGATTTGACACCATTTTAAATGGGTGACATCTTTGTGGAGTTGCCTGAGAATTAGAAGCAGTGTAAGAACAGATATAACCCTGGGGAGGTAATGTTGAGCATGTATCCCTGTTGTGATCCCAAAGTATTGTTTCATTGGACCTACCTACACTTACCCTATCCTGGGAGGGATTTTTATTAACTGGATTGCTTTCTCTTTCCACATTATTTTTAAGAGCAGATTTGTTTTTCTTATGCAAATATTTGTAAATGTTTCTCCTTCTTTTATACATGACATCACATTGTAAACACTGTAAATAGTCAGTGCATCTGCGACAACAATCACTGAAACGTGTACATGTAGATCTAAGAGAAGGCATGGCCCCTGTATGCAGAACACGAGAATCCTGTTGTTTTATTGTCTTCCTTTAGGGGGAAGGAGCACTTGGCTAAAGAGGGGGCCTAACTGTGGTTGTTTGGCATGTCTCTATAAACACATCAAAATCCCATATGTCTAACATTGAGCAATGGACACAATAAATTCATGCCATTCTTCACATCACTACCAGTCTTCGCTGTGTTTATCCACCATGTTATCCACCAGGGGACGCTATAATCCTGTGTGTGATCATTTAATTGGGCTGTATGAACATTGTATAGTGAAACAATGAGCATATGGTCATTTTTATTATAGCAAAATGTTATTTGACAGTAGTTAAATGTAGCCTACATTTTATTCTGAATAAACTCGAAACGCGTTGATTTTTTTTAAACAAGCCAGGGTTTGTCCTGACTGCGTAGGCCATGGAATCCCTAACAGAGATGAGAATTCGACTCAAGTAGGGAGGGGGTATACAAGTCAGAGGATGGGTGGAGTTGTCTACAAGCCCCCCAACCCTGACGCTATATATATTAGTGAAGATCCCCCTAGTCCCTTTAATACAGAGGACTATCCATCAGCACGATGCCAAGCAAACCTGCACCCATGAAGAAGTCCCCGGCTAAGAAGGCGGCCGAAAAGGCACCTGAGCCCGCCCCGGAGCCTGCCCCGGCCCCCGCAGAGGCTCCACCTGTGGACGCTGCCCCGGCTGAAGCTGCTCCGGCAGCCAAGGGAGAGGCAGCAGCCCCCGCAGCAGAGACCCCCGCTGCTGAAGGAGGCGCTCCAGGTACCCTGCTGGGACCATAAACACTATGCTAACTGCGGAAATCCCACCTGACATAGGATGCTTGGTGCTAAACTAACTTTAATTTGACTAATATAAGATATGAAACGCGAGCTCACAGCATACAAGCGTTAATCGACTGTGGGTAATATTATGTATCTACTAGTTACTGAATTACTTGTTTGCAATTTAAAGTTTACGAGCACAGATGATAAAGCTAATACTTGTTTGTGTTAACGAATACAAAGTCAGATAATATAATACAGTTCAGTATAAAAACAACCGAGCAAGGGAAAGGGACAAACAGAAAGGTATTACTGTAACAAGACAAACGTAAAGAGAAATTAATTAACGTAAATATTGGGCTTTCAGAGTTTCACATTTAACTTTATTTTTCTTGTATAGTAGGCTTATGAACCTCTCTGTGAGATATTCAGCAAATATAAGAGTAGTTTGAAAATAAAGTAAAGTGTTGGGACTAACGCGTTACAAAGTAACTTGCCCAACACTGGTAAACAGCCATCCCAATGGTCAATCACTGGATTTTCTTTTTTAATGAACTTCTTTAGCCATTTTAGTGGAACTGTTAATCTGGATGAATGCATTGTGCAAACCCATGGTGACTACTTTCCTCATAACAAATCTCTAGTCCTTTGACTCCTGATGATCATCTCCAGACTGTAACTCACTGCCCACGCAGCAATGTGGTGAGACGGTGAGACTAGTCACAACTCTAGAGACAGGGGGGTGCTGCAGCTCTAATCACTCTTAACCCTAGACTGGTACTTGTTGAAATGTAGCCATCATTCAAGGGGCATCTTGAATATTCTCAAATGTCTTACATCCCTAAGTAGGCATACAGATGGCTGTCTCTTAATGCTGGTTATCAGTGATTGATGCTTTGCAAAGGAGGACAATATTTAACCTGTAGAAAACTGGAATTAAACACTTTCCCAAAACATTGAAGAGAGAAAAATACCAATGACGACATTAGTGAATTGTCCTCCCGGATCTCTTACCGACCAACATAACATCTAATAAACTTGTGTTATTAATGACCCTTTTCTGGCCATTCATTTCAAGGAACAAGTAACAGCACAAATTGCATTAGACATACATCAGTGGTGGATGTTGTCGAGTGACTGGTATTGCTGGTTGCTTGCTAACCTTAACATGTAACCCCTAACTTTAGCTGATGCCATAGCCACTGAGGAAGGAGCTGACTCGACGATTCCTACTGAGGGTAAACATACACCACAGGTGGTCCACACACACAAGCTATAGTGCATGATGTGTGTGATGGTGTCCCACTGAGCACTTCACATGGTGTGTATGTTTCTTATTTACGATCGTTATGTTAACCTGGTATTTCTGTCCGTCAACTTTGTCACGTGTAAGTGTTCCTATTTGAAATGTGTGTCCTTTTAAACTACGCAACCTGCAAGGTTTCTCTAGTCTCTACTAGACGTGGATGTGATGATTTTCTGTTTTTGGTACATAAAACCTTCTGTTCTTGTCATTGAATAGCTTCAGCCTCACTGCTTTGTCCTACTGCTTGTGTCAGTGGAGTGTATCTTGATTTTTTCAGATTGACGTGAGACTGATTGGTTTCCTTCATGAGTAATGTCATAATGTAAGGCACTGATTGGCTTTTTAATGGCATTTTAACGCTAGCTACTGAAGAAGGTGCCATTGCTGCTGATGCTCCTGCTGCAGATGTTCCTGCTGCAGACGCTACCGCTGCAGATTCTCTTGCTGCAGATTCTCTTGCTGCAGATTCTCCTGCTGCAGATGCTACCACAGATGGTAAACATAAACCACCAAAGAGTCAATAACACTACTACTCAACCACAAAATACACTGCTTTATTGAGATCTGTGCTATCCCTCATGCTTTGCACATCTGTGATGCCCAGTGGATTATTAACAAAACTTTTCATTTCCTGATTTATTGTTCTGTCAAAGTCTGCATTTGCAGGTTGAATTCTTACTATATGGGAAATATGCTCTGGATATGTATCTTTATTTCTTGTCTTTGTCTCTAAAACAAAATTCTGCTCATCTGATGTTAGCTGCTCCAGCTGAAGTCGCTGTAGTTGTGGAGCTGCCAAAGGCCCCGTCTAGTGCAGGTAACACCAACATTTACACAACTACAAAGTTCTTCTTTTTTTTTTTTGCAAAAAGGTCACAAAATTAATTGGTTTCAGCAATTACGCAAACGATCAACTGATTACTTCTTAGGTTTGTTGGCAAAACAATACATTTGAAGACCTTGTGTTTTAGGAAATTATTAATGGAAAATTGCCCTAAATGATGAATCTCTTAATCGAGACAATAATCTGCAGATTATTGATAATATAAATGATCAGAAGTTGCAGCCCTATGCATAATCATGCTGTAGAAGGAAGCGTGTGTGAGCATTTTTTTTAATGTTATCCGTTTAATCTTACTGTCCACTTTTATTACATTACATTGCTTTTATCCAAAGCGACTTACAATAATAAGTACATCAGGTTTCATAGAGCTAAAACATTTCAAGTGCTACTCAACTGGCTTTAGATAAGCCAGTCCTTTATTAGTATGTGCTTAGTTAATAATTCTATCGCTCGAAGTGGAGTCTAAAGAGATGAGTTTTCAGTCTGCGCCGGAAGGTGTGTAAGCTTTCTGCTGTCCTGATGTCAATGGGGAGCTCATTCCACCATCCACTTCAATCTATAATTATTCTCCACTGTTTCAAACCTCTTTCAGTCCCCACCAGTGCTCCTCTTAACGTATCTGTGGAAGATGTGAATGAAACCAACCTCACCATTAAATGGAAGGAGCCACAGACCATCGGAGACTCTGGCCTGGACGGGTACACCATTGAGTACTGCAAGGATGGAAGTAAGTCTTAGTATCTGTGTGTATGTCTGTGAGGCTGCACCTGTCCCCAGAGTGTCAGAGGGCAGATAGACTCATAGCCGTGTCCAGACCGTATACGGCAGGCAGCATTTCACCGGCTGTCACAGTATCTCCTCACACCGCTTTTAGAAGCGCTCGTTTGCTCAGATGACAGCATGCCTTCTGAGATTTCCTCACGGATGCCAAAGTGTACTTCTTATGGGCAGGTTGTTTGTAAACTTGTGTCACCAGGCGATAAACCAATTAACATGCCCCATTAAAGGATGTTTTACAGTTTGAGATTGTAGGTAAAAGTAAAAGAATATGTTGGCATGTATACTTCAACGATCAAACTGAACTGAAAACAAACTTAAACAATAACTGTGTTTCCCTGCAGCAACAGACTGGGTTGTAGCTCAGAAGGAGTTGACCGTCGCTAACAGCCTCTGCATCCATAACCTGACAACGGGTGACCTGCTGCATGTGCGCGTGGTTGCTGTCAACCCCGCCGGCCGCAGTGAACCTGGGACACTCGCTCAGCCAGTGCCCATCCATGAGATTGGTGGTAAGTAGCAACCAATGTTTCACAACTGCACAGCAGACCACTTATAAGTGTCTACTTAAAAGAGTATTCCAAACAGCCCCAACTGTGACCTATATTCTATGTGTGGGGCTCAACATAGGTGTACCTGTGTCAAAAGCACTCAAAATGTCCAAAAACGTTTTTGATCACGCTACTAAATTGGCTCTGAAATTCCTTACTGAATCTCCCTTTCCAATAATTTTTCACATTTTCCCATTCACCGATGTAAACACCATTTTTTAGATGTCTGTCCGGTTACCTCTTTATCACAAGCTCCCTGGCGTTTGTAACTTATGACCCATCCGCAAAGTGCTCATGTGGCAGGCGACGAGGTAGAAGTGGTATTAACTGCCAGGGCCTAAGATGGACTGCACAGATGTATGCACATAAATCCCACAGGTGCAGACAAGCCCTATCATTAGCTGTACATCATGTTTGCACTTAACACGCATCTTCAGTCATATGTTTGACACCACAAATAAGAAGGTCAAGTACTCAAAGTTTCGACACATTTTCCTTTAAAGAAAATCAGTAGCAACATGCCAACAAGGATCATAGATAATGGTAAAGTTTATATAAATAGCACTTGTGTTTCATAAGAATAAGATAAGATAGAATAACTAAACATGGAACAAATTGAATCAAATAGCAAGAGCAATATGAGGAAATACCAATAAACATTTATATATACATATTTATTCACCAGTATAAATGTAAACATTGTTTTAGCACTGCATGTTGGATAGCAGAACCATCAGTTATATTTTGCATGACAGCATTAGCATTAATTGACAGGTTAATGTTTAAATGCAGAACATTTATGTACATATTAGGTACACACAATCAAACTTGACCAAAGAAAATAACTTGATCCAGGCCAGGAGAAAAAGCATTTCATCTTCTATAGTCAGGATATGTTGCACTCTTGCATAAAGCCTTAAACATGCCGGTGGTTAACTGTCTGCTCTAAAATGGTTCTGCTGCATCTGTCTTCAAGATGATTTAATGGAAGACTGAGTCAGGGAAGGAACACATTTGGCTAATGAGCCATCTGGCAGCCATATTTTTCTTTTACGTCATCCCTGTCAGTGTGACCCCACTGTCACTTTTTCACCAACATTTATAGCGGTAGCTCTAGCTGTCGCGTGGTCTCTTTTATGTCTTGCAATAAAAAAAAGATCCTTAAGTCCTCATTATGCCCTATTAAAAATTCACTTCAAAGTCACTGTAATGAGATGAGAGATATTTGCCAATCTCTCTATACAGGTCTATGTTAAAAAGCGCAGCTAATGGCTTCAAAACCCACATGGAGTCTCCCGTAAAGTCATCTCTCCTTTACTTTCTGTCATTGAGGGTAAAACCTTCCAAAAGATAAATGAAGTGACCCCCGTCAGCCTCGTCTTTCCTCGTTAAAGCTGAAGTTAGTTTTGTTACTGGAGCCATATATTTCCATCAGCGCTAACAGACATAGTAACATTGACGTGCAGCGGACCTGATCTCACACGCTCTAGTTATCCACTTTCAGAAGGGCAGCTTGGTCCCTGAGGGTATTTCCTGGTTGTGGTTCAAACTGCTGAGGACAAACAGGAAACTTAAGTGGAGAAATGCGGTCATGGCATCTGAACTGCTGGTCAACTGAGGGAAGCGACACATGAGCCTAATTAATGGATTCAGGGTGGCTTGTTGGGGGGGTTAATTCAGCTGTGTGTCACAGACAGACTGTCCTGAACAGGCCCCCATCTCCATGTACAAGCCTCTTATAAAGACACGCTGTCCTGCATGTGCTGAAAGCCCCCCGCAAAGACACTTTATCCAGAGACAAAGACAGATTACAGATTGTTTGCAGGAGCCCTTGCTGTCCGCTGGATGCTGTAATTCCAGCAACACTTCCGGGCATTGCTGGGAAGTGTGTTGATTAGCAGGGATTACTGTTTGAGCCAAATCTGGAGGCTGACCTGATCCTTGTTGGGAGCAGAGGGTTCCAGGAGCCGGATCTCAGCCCCTGCAGCAATGATATGGTGACAAATGTTGGGACGAGGAAGATGAAACACAGTAGGCAAGAAACCTCGTTAGAAGGAGCCTAGAAAGATGCATAGGCATATGAGGACATTCTTTGTGGATGAGGAGAAACGGAAGCCAGAGCGGGGTGAGCGAGTTAATGGAGGTCAGCCACTTGGTTTTATGTACCCAGTAAGCCCATAGAGCTTTCCAGACATTTGCTGCTTAAGCAGAAACAAGCATCTCGACGTCCCTGATACTTAGCACCCTGCCATCCAGAATACTGGAAATATAAATGACTCCAGTCCCAACAACGGTGCCATTGCATCCATTTCATTGTATCCACAGTATAGCTATGGTAACCAGCAGTTACCATATCTGTTGTACTTAAGTGTTTTTAAATGTGACACTCCAATCAGTTTGAAAGTGATGACGTCTTCCTGCTGCTTCTTTGTGCAGGACACAGGGGAACACATGTGGGAGTTTATCTGAGTTTCTTGTCACCTAAGCTATTTTAAGAGCTGCTGGATGCTGGGTCTTCCTCTTTTGCCCCTCTCTGCCCAGATACTGTACTTTTTCCTGTCACACTCCATTTTTTCAGCTAGCACTCAAAATCATCAATAAGACTTGGACATTCATTTATTTTGGATTGGAAATAACCACACAGATGTGGATTCTTGAATGAAGTGTTGTCATTTAGTCTCGAAATGTTAATAACTAGTGAGAACTTGTCCTTCAGAGTTGAAAGATGTTTAATTTACTATTTATTTGCATACAAGCTTAAACCAGAGAATGTTGAGCACTTTAGCTTTAAAATGTACTGACGAATATCGAAAAGCTGAGTATTCATTTACTGTTTATTGATAAACTGATCATTGAAATTCCCCTAAAATGTACCATCAAAACCATTCAAATTGATTGTTATATGCGTTTTTAACCTGTATGAACTCATGAGGTTAATTTGAGCTCTTTTAGTCATGTTCTCTTGTCAGCTTCGCCTCGTAGTGTCTGGTCTATTTATGTCTTGTTGACCTGTTTTACATGACCTCACTTTGAAGACACAAAATTGAAGTGGACATATCACATGTTGTACATTGCTTGCTGGTAATGCTAGCTTAGGTGGTTAAGTGGATGATTTATGTATGTAGTTGTCCTAATTATGTCAATATCAAAAGTTAGGCAAAACTGATGATGGACGATGCAGTGGATAAACATATCTTGTTTTTCAGAACGTCCCAAGGTCCGCATGCCACGCGCTCTCAGAGCCTGCTGTGTCAGGAAGGTTGGAGAGCAGATCAACATGGTCATCCCCTTTCTTGTAAGCAAGCATGTATAAACAACACCTTTATAAACCATCAAAAAAAATGCACAGAAAACTCCACAGATTTTACGTTGCATCTTCTCTTTTTTTCAAACTCCTCAGGGAAAGCCCAAACCTGTGGTGTCCTGGCTTAAAGACGGTAAGCCGTTGGACACAAAGAGGGTCAACATCAGGAACAGTGACAAGGACAGCATCATTTTTATCCGCACGGCAGAGAGGGACGACTCTGGTGTTTATGAGATGTCAGTCAAAGTGGACAGCTTTGAAGACAGATCCACCATCGTCCTTCAGATTGTGGGTTAGTCGCTCATGCTTATGTTTACACTCAAACACACATGGAGGCACATGTGAGTGCTTTGGACAGGTGTAAATGTGGAATTATTTCAGACCTCCCCGTTGAATCTACTCTGCAGTTCATGCTGCTAGCTTGTTGAAGACCTGTGACTTGCTCCAAGAAATGTTAAGCACATCACACCTCTAACAATGATGTCCTTCAACACGGCTGTAAGCTGCTACTGTTTAACTGGCTGGCCCCACGTTAGAGGCATTAGTGTACAAACATATGGTTTAATTTTGATCTGGGGAGCAAACACCTTTCGTGCTTCAAGGAACACACTGGTTATTATTTAATCTTTTCTAAGTACTTTCGTGTCTCCTCAGAGCGGCCCGGCAATCCTACCAGTGTGAAGCTGGTGGACGCCTGGGGCTTCAACGCAGCACTGGAATGGACCCCCCCCCAGGACAATGGCAACACAGAGATCACGGGATACACCGTCCAGAAGTCTGACAGGAAGACCGGGGTATGGCCGATCTGAACATACATTTCACAGGTTGCAGAAATAAATGAGATGTATATTAGACACAAATAGTTTAACAGGAGTCCCACCATAGATACCTAGGGCCTAAGTGTTGATGTAACATGTTGTAAATTCTTTCATTCACTGAATATAGGGCTATTCCATGCATTCCATGCATTTTATAGAATTGTTTTGATCTTCCCACTACTGCTGGTGACCGACTTAATCATTAAACACTGCTTGAGTGACAGTAACTTCAAGATGTTATTATAAAGATTATTTGTATTATTAATTATATTAGTCCATCATTTTGTATATGTGTCTTAGGGCACTTCTCTCCCTTTCTTATTAATGTGGTGCCCCAGTCACTGCCGTTTTGTTTTTGCACCAAAAAAAAAAGAAATCTGAAATCAAGGGAAATAATATTCCATCTAAAGATGTCAGGCTAATGATTGGTTAATTGATAGCTTAATGATGATAACCGATCCAATAAGGATGCATTAAAGTTACATGTTTGTTTCGTGCTGTGTTAAAATGGACGCCTGTTTTGTCTCGACCTGCAGGAATGGTTCTCGGTGCTGGAGCACTGCCACAGGCTTACTGCCACCGTCTCAGACCTCATCATGGGCAACTCGTACATCTTCAGAGTGTTCGCTGAGAACCAAGTGGGCATCAGTGAGATGAGCGTTGTCACAAAGGGGGTTGCCACAATCCACAAGACAGGTGATCTTCTTCTTCAATCCTTAATTCTTCTTAGGGAAACGTGTCGACATGATGGATCATTTAGTGACAAGGCTGCAGTACAAGTGGGGACTTGAAGGAGCTGCAGTGAGTGTGAGAGAGTCGAGAGGGTGTGTGTTTAAAGTGAAGACTTGAGGAGTGGAAATGACCTTGGCACTGCTTCAATCGTGTGGGTAGGCCTCTTGGCTAGTGTCCAGCAACAACTGAAATAACTTTTAAGAGGCTCTGACAACATTAAGACAGCTGGCGGAGCAAATGTTACTTTTCCTGTATGTGTCCTCGCTCTCTCACTTTTGATAATTGAGCCACTACTTGTGTCACTTTCATGTAAACATCAAGCCTTCATGGTGTCGTACATTGTTCGACACCATGAAGGCTTGCTAGGTCTGAAAATGTGTGCTGTTATTCCTGCTTTTGTATGATTCCCCCTTCCCCCCATCTTTATGAATGCATGCCTACCTTCTTCCAAAGTAGGCATTTGGTATTTTCCCTATGAACACATTCAAAAGTATGATAAAGAAACAGATGGACATAAAAAACAGTATTGAGAGACTGGCTCGAGGAACGACGATTTGAAAGATAATTATAATAAGGAGGCGTGTGGCACAGTGGATAGAGCCTTGGTGTTGGGATTAGATGGTCACAGGTTCAAACCCCACTGCAGTCAGCATGTTGTTGTTGCTTATGGAAGCTTGGGGTAGTAATACAAAAACTACAATTTCTTAAAACGTATAACATTTAAATAAAAAATTTGAATGGCATGATATCCAAAACATGTTTTTTGAGGAATAGTTGGAATATGAAATGATAAAAAAATGTTATTACAAAGATACTTCAAGAAAACCACCTCACCGGGTCAAAAAATACCCACTTATGCATCTAAGGGTTAATAGCGATGTAAGAATTGGGAATTTTAAGGAGTTTTGACAGCGTGGGAAAGCGGAATCGATTAGAGCGAGAAAACAGCAGAAATTCGAAAGCCAAAGCACCAGTGTTAGCCTCTTGAGGTTAAAACTACTTGCGTGCCACATGGCTGCAGCTGCTGCAGAGTCCAAACTATCCCATGCCAATCATTCTCTTTTTGAACTACTTGCAATTTTTATATTAGGGCATAGTCGCCAGTCATACAGTTGACACAGATGACATACAGTATAATAAAGTCTATAACATCCCTCCCTGCCCAACCCGGAAACAAGAGGGTTGACCTGCAAAATGTTATAAACAATACATATAAAGCTAGTGCCAATGAGTCATACAATTTTGAAATAAATAAATACAAATGAAACAAAAGGAAATAATACAAAATACCTAAATACAATCAAATCAATCGTATTGTTGGTCCATTTGTTCACAGCTATTGCCTACACGCCTCCCGAGTACCTGGAGCGTGACTACAGTGAGGCCCCGAAGTTCACCACCCCCCTCAGTAACCGCAGTGCCACGGTGGGATACACCACCAAGCTGCTGTGCTCCGTCCGTGGAAGCCCCAGGGTCAGACACTCACACACACACTGCTTGTACACACACCGCATGTTTCCCAGAAGCCCATTGATCCCTCTGCATCATTCCAAGGACTCTTACTGTACCCTTTCCAGGTTGCAGTTCATGTTTCCATCACCTATAGTATATCTTATTATTGTATCATGTCTTGGATCACAGTGACATTCCTGGTATTCCTGACTGATAACTAATGCCAACAGATAGCATTTTAACATAGAGAGGAGGGGGCTGAAGAAACATCTGGAAGAATCATGTATTGTTGGTATTTCTCTTGTTTTATATTTTGTACGAAGTTGCCTGATACAACATTAGGTATTTTGTTGCCTGATATAACATTAGGTATTTCATATTTACCTTTTCGAAGGTTGTTTGGGGATCCTCGATCATTAAAGCATGAGAAACTTCACATGAGTTATTCATGTCGCTGCTATAAAGATCCACTGTAGATGTGGGTTAAGGCTTGCACTGGTATGTCTATGTGAAGCTTCAGTATGTCTCTCACTGTCTTGGCGGCTGCCGCTCTGGTTAAACATATCTTTTCAGTTGTCTGCCTGACGCAGACGGCTTAGGTTGCCAGCCGTGGTGCGTCCTCGCTGTCCTTGACTTATCAGCAGGGACAGCAGCGGTTGAACTTTCCTTGCAAATGTATTTGAGACAAATCAAACACAACCTGATCTAGAGTCATGCCACTAAGCTGTGGAATCTGAAATGTAAAGGACTGTGGGTCGAGTCCTAGTTTGACTTGGAGATTATTGCATGTAGCAGCTTGGTTCTGGTACTAAAGCTTTGCATGAGTTGGTTGGTTTGTGAAACTAGACCTGTACAAAAGCCTAGAGGCAGAGACTTCGTTTTTTAAGTAGTTTGTACTTCTTCATCACCACTGACTACACCACTGTCAAATGTTGATTATGGATAAAAGAAGAACAACTTTCTCTGACAACATAGCATACACTGAGGAGTTGATTACTTAGATTGACTAATTGAGCCATCAACACTACTGTAAGTGGACATCTAATATATACTGTAGGTGTCAAATATCTCCTCTTAGTGTCTGTTCTTGTGAACTAGCTGCTAACTGAGTTGTGGCAGCTGTGTAAAAACACACTGATCATATTTAGGGGCCCATTAGAAGAGAGGCACCCAATACCTCTTTAATACAAGAGAGCAACATATACACATGTTTGAACCTCTACATTTAAATCCTGTGACAAGTTAATCCCTCATGTTACCACTCACAAACATGTATCTGTTGTTCCCCTCATGTCACTGAGCCATCTAATTATACATAATTACAACAATTTGAATCACATACGTAATTCAGTCCAACTTTTTCTCTTTCCAAATCTGTCCCTACCACTTGTTTCAATTCCCTAGATAAGTAATTGTACACGGCCTGATTGCCATCAGCTTTAATACTGTTAAACGAGGTGCTTTTAAGCCTACTATGTAAATGAAATGAAATGATTTCATATTTCCGGCACTTGTGTTATAACGTGTGTGTTTATGAGCTCTGGCTGAAAGTGAGAGCCCATAAGGGCAGCAGAGGCAGGTCCAGCAGAAAGGCATTTATAGTGATAAGTGGCCTTGCTGTGTCTGATAAAGAGCTGCCTGTCACATTCAAAGGCAGAGACAACATGTGAAGCTGTTGAAGATAATGGAGAGAGGACAGATAAACAGGGAGGACAAAGAAGAGACCATGATAAGAGGCGTGTTGTTCTGTAATGGCTAAGTAGAGCTGTATCACAGAAGCTACTATTCCTGCCATCCATCCAGACTGCAGCGCTGTTATCAGTATGAATGACTATCCCTTTACCCACACACAAGGATGCCCAAAGATAGAAATATGATGGCACAGGAAAGAGATAAAGGAAGATGTAATAGTAGGAGAGAGGAAGGGATGGATTGGCTTGTCTTTACCTTTATTTTTCGTATTGGTTCCAAAGCAAAGTAACCCATGCAGCTGGTATTTTTAATAGGAATCATCTTCTGGGGACCTTTACTATTTGTGCCAAAGTTATATTTCGGTCTGATGAATGACCTATATTACGATCCACAGAGAAGCGCCGCTAGCTGGGATAAAAATGCATTACATCAAAATCCTCTCCATAAACCATCATGCCTTTGCACGCTGACGCCTGATTCCATGTGTTGATGCATTGATGCACGTATCCAAACTATGATCTCATTTCATCATATATGTTAGAGTTAACTGTTGACCTCATGTAGAACATGCTGCTCTGCCAAGATAAACAGCAGTAGCAGCATTACCATGTGTTTGACGTATTGGTTTGCAACAACATCAGAAACATCAGCTTCTCCCCGCTGCCAAAAGCTCAAATATGTAGTACATGGTGTGATGCCAAGGAGGAAAACCGTTCAATCATTTTCATCACCGTCCACCTTATCCACCAGAGAGGGCAATGGAGATGGAGAAATCATTAGAGACGACCCTAATTTTCCCTTAACAGTGTTTGCCCAGCGTAGTTTAATAAAACTAAGTTATACTTAAAGGTCCCCTTTTTATACTTTTTTTATCAATATATTATAGGTCTCAGATATATACAAACATGTCTCGGAAGTGTTTGGCTCGGAATACCAAACAGATCACCCATTGCAGCATCCCATAATCCCTTCTGTTTTAGCCCTGTTTCCAAAATGCTGATTCTCTGTCTGTTACTTTAGATGAAAAATAAGGAGCCCCTCCCCACGCCCCTCTGAGAGACATTTGGTTAAAAAT